ATTATTCAAAAATGTGGGGGAAGGTACAGTTATTTCATGAAAATATATAATAAAGTAATTGAAATTCTTAATTTTCAAGAAAAAATGTTTATGCCATAAACAGTGCACTTAAAAAACTGTTTTTGTATTGTTTAATAATTCAATCCTTACTGTATAATTATCATTTTCTAATAAAGCAAGTTGTGAATAATTTACTACTAAGTCATTTTTGGCTTTACTAAAAGTTTTCTAATGATTATTACTTAATCTGTTGAGTATACTAAAAGTAAAAATCCATATATATATATATTACGAAGTTAAATTTGATCAATTTATTAACCTTACTAAAACATCTTTTGAAGATAAATTGATATATTCTAATGCTTTAAGATAAATTACATCTTTTACTTCAATTAAATGAATTATGAAATAACAAAATATATTTTAACAGTATCACAAATTGTTTTAAATCTTTTTTCTAGTGATAATTCTTTAAAGAAATTATGATAAGTTTTATTTAAAAGTTTTTACTCCAAGAAATTTAAATTTATGCTTTAAAACAAATTTTACATTTAAGAATTTAATGTTTATGATGATATGTATTGAAATTTTGCTGACTCAGGTTAAAACTTCATTAATCATTTTGTATATTTATAATTTTCTCTTTTTGCCTTGTCACAGAATGTGAATAAAGAAACGACTAAGCATTTCTGTAAATAATTTAAATATTCATTTGTTTAAAATAATTTTAAAAATCTTATTAAAATAAGAAATAAACATATGGCTGTCGATGTGTTTTCAACATAAAACAAAATAAAATAATTCATAAAAAAATATTAGTTTCAGTAAGACTTTGTTCTTTTTAAAATTCTATCTCAGTAATAAAATAAGTTTTGTTTTAATTTAATTATAATTTGCATTTAATTATGTTATAAAAATGATAATTTAAAAATATAAAAGAGAGTGCATTTAGAAAAGTCAATTTGTGTCAAGGTCAATTATAATAATAAATTATACAGAAAAAGTAAAAACAGCATAAATATTTGTAATTCAATTTCCTTGTGGCAAAATATCGTGATATTTTAAATTTATAATTAAAAACAAAATAAGTTTGTTTTACTAATGAAAACATTTTTAATATGAGAGAGAGAATTTATATAAAATAATATTTTCAGACAAATTTTAAAGAGTAAACTTTAGTTTCAATGTTTCAAAGTTTAAAATTACTGCAAACATCAAAATATAGAAAATCCATTAATTTTAAATTGCAGGTTAAAACAACAATGAATTAATACTAGTTTCTATAATTTATAACAAAACTTTGGTGTAATGTTTTAGCCAAAGAGACCAAAAGAAAAGATATATAATTAATCCAATATAAAAGATTTTCAGATTAGAATTAGATAAATATATTAAAAATCTGAAAGAAACTGTTTTATAAAATGAGAGTTCAAACTTTTGTTTTTCAAAAAAATATGAATTTCATATCTGAAAATTTTGTTATGTAAATCAAAGTTTGCATTGAAAGAAACAAAATGCTGTTGATTACATTATGATATGTATTATTTTTTTCCAGTATCAGGTAAAAATTTTTATGCAAATTTATTTATTTTTTCATATTCTATAAAATAGTATTTATTTATTTATTTATTTATTTTTGAATTTGATTTAATAGATGAACAATGTCAGTACCTCATATTTGATTTAAAAATTAATCCTAAACAATTTTAAGAGAGAAAAATTGACATGGATTGGAATTTTTGATTAGGATAATTTACAGTATTGAATAAATTTTATAAATAATAAATTATTCTATTATTGAATAAATTTTAAGTCTAAGAAATCCAAAAGTATTTTGTTTTTTTAATGCAAAATTTGAATTTAACTTGTACTGTAATTTTTTTTCAACTTACATATAAGATGAAAAAAAAAATTACAACAAGAATTCTACAAACTTGGTGTACATATGTAATAAATTTTTAGTAATTAATTTAAAATAATCACAATATAATAGCTCAATACATTCTGGTAGTTGTTGGCTTATTAAAAATTACAAATTTAGAATACTGTTTTTCTTTTGATTCCATGATTTGGTGATTCAGATATTATCAATAAAATTGATAACTTTGTTCTAAAAATTTACTACTGTGCAAAGAAACTTTCCTGTGTCAGAGTTTTTTTACAGCATTTGTACAATGTTTGGTTTGTTAAAATATTTGCTCTTTATCAATCTAATGACAATATATTTGTGTATTTTGTAAAGTTATGTGATGTATCATACACCTTACTCATACATCTTAGTATCTTAGTAAGATGATCTTACTCATACAGCTTACAATCATGATGGTACAGTAGAACCTCGATTATCTGGACCTCTATTATCCGGATTGTTCAAAATAAACAAAAATTTTACGAATTTGCTGATTTGCACTTGGCGAATTACGACACTGTTTATGTACATGATGAAATGCATAACATTTCTTGTTTCAACAACGTCTCACCCGGCACAGTGGTCGTAAACTCTTAAATATATTTTGCATCGTAATAAAAATATAACTTGACTTACGTATTTATAAATAATTTATACTCAAATTACATCATTTCTAGAACCAAGGGCGGCGTAAGGCATGGGCGACGTGGGCCACTGCCTATGCCTCGCAGTACGAAGGGCCTCGTGCCTCAAAGGTTTATGCATTATTTAAAAGCCGCGAACACGACGAAAAAATTTTACTCGTCATAAAATGATAAATAGTTTGACAAATTTTTATTCATAAAAATGCAGTTTCGACTGCTTTTTATTTTATAAAATCCGTCTTCTTGAGCCGCCAGAGGTCCTTTTAAACAACAGCTAATCTGTTAGCGCTGGTCAATAGTAGTCCAAATTCAATAAAACATTTGTTTCTTGAAAATTTGATCGCAATTTAAATAAAGTATTTATTTTTAATATTATCGATATGTCATCGAAAAGAAAACGTGTTTGTATTATCATTAAAAGACAAAGTATTTGTTTCGATTATCCGGATTTTACCTTATCCGGACTACCTTCATCCCCAATTAGTCCGGATAAGCGAGGTTCTACTGTGTATATCTTATGTACTTGCATGACTATACACAAGTTATATCTACACAAATTACATTACATTAATTTGAATAACCTTAATAAATACAGAAAATAAAATCAAAGGAGTCTTGGCACATGACTCCTTTTTGATTTTTATTTTCAAAGGATCTTTTATTTTGAGTATGAGGTATTCATATTCATGCAAGTACATAAAGTTATTTCAATTAGTTTTATGCTGTAGATTAAATTCATAAGTTTATCTTGAAGAAAATGTATTTGAAATTAAAAAGTATTTATTTTTTAGGGAGGAAAAAATCTATGAAATTATAGTCAAAATATCAATATTATCTAAATTAATAAAAATAATATTAAACTTTAATCATTGACACAACTGAAATTTGATTAGTCTTTTGTAAAAAAATAAATGAAATGCTTTTTGCAACTTATAAAAGTCATTAATTATGGATGAATCAGAAATAATATTTATTTTTATTTATTTGTTTTTAATGAATGGTGTGATCAAAGTGTAAGGTGAGTATAATAATTAATGTTTTCATGATTTTATTCAATTAATCTATGTAAATATATTTAATTTTCTTATTCTGCATTATATTTCTCATTTACAATTAATTACTTTACTTTTCTTAAAATTAACATTTTTTATTAATTTAATGAATTTTTCAGAAAAATTATAACAGCTCTTCAGAATATTTAATTATAGAAATGATCAAACATCATTACTACACCTGATATGTTTAAAGCTATACACTAGTGTTTCTCAACCTCTAACAAATCGTCTCCCCCTCCAACGTAGTATCGTCCCCTTCAATAAAACCGTTACGTAGTATCGCCCCCTTCACTTCAAAATTCCAATGTTGAAAGCCAAGGCTAATGCCAAATTCGTACTGCATTGAATAAACTAGTGACTAGTATAATGTTATTTAATTATTGTAAGATATAACGAATAAAATATCTAATTATTCTTAATATAATGTTTTACTATATCAAAAATCAAAAATGCTTTTTCATTAAATTTTCTCAGCAAATTAAGGTGTTGTGTGTTTTTGATTTGCATACTGCTGAGTGAGTATACCTCAGTTTTACTATATCGCCCAGAAAATTGTTTTTTGCCCCCCCAAAATATAAATTGTTACTAATTGCCCGCTCAACATCGAAAAACACCTACATAGGGACAATATCGCCCCCGTTGAGAAACACTGCTATACACCAACCAAAGCCGAATATTAATGTTTTACTTCTATTAATTTTTTTACAAAAGACTATCAAATTTCAGTTATGTTGATGATTAAAGTTTAATATTGTTATTAATTTAGATAATATTTGGACTATAATTTCATAGGTTTTTTTTCTCCCTAAAAAAATACTTTTTAATTTCAAATATATTTTTCTTCAAGATTTGCTGTAGATAAAAATCAGTTTTAAACTAATTGAATAGCCATTTCTAGCCTGATAATATTTGGCTTTGGTTGGTGTATAGCTATAGAAATGATTAAACTATTTATTTGAAATAAATATTGAGATATTAAAGATCTTTTATTTCTCTAAAAATAAAGATTATAATAGTTCAGAAAGTCAATTTTATCAGGACCAATGATCAAGGCTTTTTTTTGTATTATCTATAATATCTAATTAGGTTAGCAGTTACTATGTAGTCATTTAATTGAGAAACTTTAAATTTCTTTTTAACATATTTTTATGAGATACTGTATTTGATACATATACAATATATTACAATGCAATACAAATTACTTAATATTTCACTGTAAAAAAGGAAATTACAATTAAATATCAATTTTGTAATAATTTTTATTAAGTAAGATATACAGGAAATTATGTAATATAGAAGAAATGTGTAATAAATCATATTCAAATTTTATGTATATTTTTAACAAGATTTTTAGAATTAAAATATACTTACTGGTAATTCATTCTTTATTAGATTGAAATAGATAATTATGACAATATTGGGTACTTATTTTCGTCATTTTGGCATTGCCATTTTCAAGAATAACAGGACTTTATTATACAAGTATTCTTCTAACCCACCATGGATAATAAAATTTTCTCGGAAATTTCATAAAAGAGGTATGTACTTTAAAAAGTGTACATTTACAGAATTTTTAAAATTTAAATATTAAAATTTTTTTGTCTATATTATCTATGTAAATTACAGATTTTCTGTAACTAGCATAAAAAGGTCATAAATATTTTTCATATAATTCATATAATAAAACATTTGACTATCTGAAAAAGCATTGTGCATTTCTATTTTACTCCATATTTGAAGGAATAGAAAGTAAAATATGCAATTAGAATGTAGATTTATTCTTATTAAAATAATAAAATGTAAGTTTATTCTTTCATGACAAAATTAAGATTAAAAAGCACACTGAACTAAATGTAAACATAACTAAACATGTTTTACTTAATTTAAAAAATTACAAAATATCTTTTTGTAAGAACTTTTTATAATAATTCAGCTTTGAATCTTTGAATTATTAAGATTATTCAGTTTATTATCGTAAATTATTTTTGCAAGATTGAATTTTATTATTTATAATTTATTAGCATTCTTGAAAATATAAACAATACATTTAATTGAGTAATTCTTTGAAGAATTAACTCATCCTGAAACAGAATTATCTATTAGAGTGCAAAATGTTTAAAATCATTTTATAGACTTATAAACAAATCATAAGTCTATTATCTCAGATTTTTTTCATTTTCAAATATATACTAAAATCATGATTTAAACTTTTTATTTTCCTGTCTCTGCCATACTTTCCCTCTGTTATATATAACAATCTGTCAAAAACTGAGCCCCCAAGATTTTTACATTTTTGACTTAGCACCTTGAAACATCAAGAAATGCAAAAAACTGAGTTTTTTCAGTATGTATGAGTGTGTGGGCATGATTTTGTTCACTCTCTTTTGAAGCATTTGTCTTGA